CGCTTTACAGTTAAATAAAATCAGTTTTACCTTTTTATATATTTATATCATCCGTTTCTATTTTACAAGTTTTCTTTGTTTTTATCAGTACTGTTCTGTTCATTTTGCAATTCTTACTATTTTTCTGGCTGCGATGTTGTCTCAATGTTTTTATGTTTACGTCAAATATAAGTAGATATATATATATATATATATATATGTATATATATATATAGATCGATCATATATATATATAGAGTATGTATTAAATACGTTAAAAAATATAATACACCATACATATAATATAAGAGTTTAGGTTTTCAATGCACTATATGCTATTTGCTTTCTTTCATTAGTACATACTGTAGTATATAGTATGCATCTAGCATTATTTATGTTTATATTCCATTGTTACTTGTTCTTTTTTCTTTCATATTTTTGTTCTTGTTCTTGTTGTTGTTGTTGATGTTGATGTTATTGTTGATATTTGAGAATTCAACTAAAAATGGTTTCGAATAAAATGGATCAAATCAAGCTCAAGCCTCAATTTGATATCAAATCATACAGTTTTTCATGGGGCTTACAACGCTTTCTGGCGTCAGATCTTCATTTCATTTCATATTTCTTTTTATGTTTAATATTATTATAATTATTATTATTATTCATTTTCAGTTAATGCTTACCGTTTCTATTTCAATGTGTATTTATCTATAATTTAAATATTTCTCATACTGTTTGCTGATTTGCTTGTAGGTTTTTCTTTGTTTCTTGATTTGTTTAATGGTTTTACGATGGTTGTTTACTTAAAACTATTATCACTATTGCAGAAAGCGAAAGCGGCTGTACTCAATTATACAGGCATAGATTCATATATAGACCGGCATATCATTGTATCCATTCATCATTTGTAGATTACCCCGATACACTGCTATACCATTCTATATACAAATATATACACTGTTGTTGTTATTTCATTGTTGTTGTTGTTGTTGTTTTTGTAGGCATTTTCTATGAATTTGTTTTTGCTTTGGTTGTTTGTCTGAATTGTAAGCCGGAAGTGTAATAATTTCTTGTTTTATGTTTATTTATTTCGGAAAACATTATCCTCAAATATTATATGGAAACATTTCTTTATCATAATTTTTTGTTTTAGTATTTGTTTTTTTTTTGTTTTTTTGTATTATAATTTCTCGTTTAAATTTTAAGAAGAAAGGATTCTTTTTCGTTTTGCTTGTCATTTGTCGTTTCGAAAAGCAACTTTCGAAATTCGCATTTTCGTGTCTTAAGTTTTTGATTTGCCAAGTTGGTAGTTTTTGTATTTTTTGTATTTGGTTTTTTTCTTTTTCATATCCATGCCTTTTTAGTGTGTGTTGTGTGTGTGTATTTTTTGGGTTATATGTAGTTCCATATTGGTTTAATGGATGCTTTATTGAGACTGCAATTAAAATTTCTGCTATAAAAATTACTTGTATTTGTACTCTTGGTTATTTAAATTGGGCTATTGTTGGTTGTTAGGTATGCTTGTAACTTTGTGTGTAGAACTCTGCTCTATAACTTTAACTATTTGTTCAGGGTTCTCTCTCTCTCTCTCTACCTCTCTCTCTCCCCCTCTCATTTTTGATTTGGTGTTCAGGATTGGTTCGTTTATATGGCTTAAACTAGTTTATTTTAGCCCCTTTGTCTGTCTAGGCTGTTTGTCACGTTTGTCAAGTGTTTCCCCTAAGATACTTGTATCTTCGAAGTAGAATCATCATCTACTCCTCCTATAGGTTTGTCATAGCCGGTTTATCATTATTTTGTTAATTTTACTTTGAATTGCAGTCAGCATTTATGCTAACTTTTTCTGACTTCCACTGAAGCAGCTGATTTACACATCCTTCCTTCATTTCATGTTGTCTATGCATTTTTCATATGATTCCTTCTATATTCAATTTTGTTTTGCAACTACAAAAATCATAAGTTTTATGGAAAATAATAGGGAATTAAGTATGAAAGAAATTATTCAAATTATAAGTCTAAAACAGCAGCTTTTTAGGCTGCTTACAATTTTAAGTGGAGCTTTTTGAAAATTTTGGTTAGTTTCTTTTTAATTTTTAGCGCCTAAATGTATGTTAATGTTCATTTTTTCGTTTTGATTAAGTGTATTTGTTAAATTTTGTTTTTATGCCTAAAAATTTACAAAAGTTTTATATGTTATCGTTATTTATCGTAAGTTTTGTTTTTTTGTTTTTGTTTTTCTTTTATTTTGCATTTATCACAGCGACATTCAGTCTAAATTTTGCTTTTATTGGAATTATAGCATAATTTGCTATAATTGATATAAATATTTATAGTAGATATTTACTTTAGTTAACTAAAACTAAACATAATTTTGATTTAAAGCCAAAAGTGTCGTTTTGTGTGTGTCCGTTTCGGTTTTCCGTTTTGTTTTTTGTTTTCCAATTTCGGTTTCGTTTAAAGCCAAAAAGAATTGTTAAAAATTTTGTCTAAAAAGGCCTAAAAGTATATAGCTTAGTGTTAATTTTGGTAATATTTATAGCAAATCATGCTGTTCTTGCATTTTTTGGTCTAATTCCAATAAAAGCCTTCGATATTGGACACCATAGAAATTGTTGTTGTGTTGTTGTTGTTGTTGTTGTTGTTCTGTTTGCCACATGCAATATTGTTGTTCTTCTTTATCAATGTGCCTAAAAAGTGTTTTAAAATTTTGACTAACCTTTTTCCGAAGGTGTTTAATAAAATTTGTTCAATGACAAACAATATCTTTTTTTTTTCATTTTGCTTAAATTTTCATTTTTAAACTATTTATAAAACTTTTGCATGTATTTTCGATTAATTTTTAATTTGCCAAAAGATAACTATTTACATTTTTATTAGCTCGTTTTTTTTCCCGAAAAGTATTTTTTTTTTTAACTGAGCCTATCACAAAAATCAGACGCCATGCCCAAGCCGAAAAATATGTTTGTTGTGTAGTGTAAATGCCAAAAAATGTTTCAAGAGTCAAAAGTTACTCCATATTAAAATTGGAAAACTCTCAAAAGGAAAATGAGGAGAAAAAAAGTGTAAAATTATTTGTTGGTTTATTTAAAAATGATTAAATAATAGATGCAAACATAATTTTAAAAACTAAAACAGTAAAAACAAATCAATTTCGCAATTGGATATCGAATTGAAACTTAACATTATCTCTACCGGTATATATATATATATAGATATATATTTATACATATAGATGTATATATATTAAATAATGAGTAGATTACTTGCAAAATGGGGACTGCTAAATTATAATTAATTTCTGTTCATTTGTTGTTATAGGAAACATATTCTATTAGTTTAATAACAATTATAAATGCTTTGACGGTACATTGGAAAATTTGATAAGAAACTAAATTTGTTGTTGGTTTGTTTGTTTTTTTTTTATATCTTGATTTTTATATCCACACAGTTGTTGATAAGAGAATTTTCAGAGTTTCAGATTGGTTAACGATAGTTGTTAAAAAGTGTTTCGAGTGTTTCGATTAAGTGCATCTCTGACTATTGTTCTTTAATGTATGGCACCTGAAGAGTCACATCTGAATAACCTTTTGCTATTTGTATAAACATCTTGTGTGTTGGATCGGTTCGGGTTCAGGGTTTTGCTTGGTTGGGTTTGGTTTTTCGGGGTCGGTTTTTGGGGTTTTTGCCTATGTGTGGACATAATTGGGTATATTTTGTGGGTATATATGTATATGACTAATTACTAAATAAAACTCAACATAAATTACAAGCAAACAATTAGGGAAGACAACAAATGATTGTTTCCAATTAATTTACAACTTAAAATTAAATATTCTAACTAATTATAAATTGCATATTAGTTGTTTTTAATGTTTGTTTTTCTTTTTGTTTGTTGTTGTTTGTGTATTGTTTTTCTTTTTAAATATAATAAAAAATCACATCTCAATTAATAGAAATAAGAAGCAAAAGCCCAATCAAAGTTTTCACTAACTTGTGATACGAGTAAACCAAAGATAAACTAGTAGTGCATACATAATAATGATATAAGTATATATATATATAAATATATATACATATACAGATATATATGTATATATATATATATATATATATATATATATAATCCCTTTATTATATCATTTCAGTAAACCGAAGATCATTTTAAATCAAGATTCCAATACTACAACATAACTCAAATATATACTATATATATACACATATATATCTATATATATATATACATATATATGTATATATTTTGTAAATCATATAAATTAGCTGCTGTCTCCTTGCCAAAAGATAAAAACATAATTTGCTCAGCGCAACGTCCAATGCCTCTAAGCCCGCATCCTGCCTCTCCCCCCGCATACCTATCCCTATCCCTAGCTGCCCCATCTATCACGATAACTTTTCTCTCTCTCTCTATATCTGTCTCTCTCTCTCTCTGTCGCTGTCTTACTCGGTCTTTACCTTTCTGCCACTCTCACTTTGAAGTTGCTGTGCCAACTATCCTAACGCCTAAAAAATCGTATAACTCTGTTGTGTGTTTGTTGATCCTTCTCTCTATAAATATATGTGTTGTTTATGTAAAGTAAGATCCTAAAAGCGAAATATTATTGGAAAAAGGAATCGTATAACGTTGTGTTTTGGTTGATCTTCTCAAAGTTCATTCATCTTCTTATATATTGACCATTTTGCATTTGATGTTTGATGGTTTTCTACATGCAATTTGTGTTCGTGTTTGCAAAGGAGTTTAGAGTCCTTTTCGAAAAGACTAGTACTCGTCATCGTCATCTTTCATCTTTCATCTTTCATCTTTCGTTCTGACTTTTTTTTTGTTTGTTTTTTCTTTTTGTTTTTGTTTTTTTGTTTTTTGTTTACCAAAACTGTGTTTTGACTTTTGTTTTAATAACTAGGAGAATTTCGTGTGTTTAGTGTTTTCAACTAAAGAACCTTTTAAAACCTATTCAAACTTATAAAATACCGCGAATATTCCGTTCCGTTTCGCTGCTCAATTTCAGTTGAAATTCTTGTGAAATTTAATTAAATTTGAGCAGCGACACAAAACTGTAGATTTTGTTGTGATTGTTTTTAAATAATTTTTGCAAAATTGTGGGCGTGGCTAGAGCGCATTGCAACACTGTTGATTTATTTCCAATTGCTATGCTTTATTAGTGCTCAGCTGCTGCTGCTGCTGTTGCTGCTGTTGCTGCTGCTGTTGCTGCTGCAGCTGCTGCTGTTGCTGCTGCCGTTTTGGATGATGTGAGTTGTGGAGGCTTACTGATGACATCATAGAGATCCGAATATCGAGTGTATGTGTGGGTGTATGGGTATCGCGTGCGACAGTGTGGGCGGCGGCGGTGGTGGAGCAACGCCATTGGGCGTGGCCGCCAACGCATGTCCTGCATGCGGATGCGGCGGATGCGCCGATGGCGGCGGCGGCAACGTTATCGACAACGTCACCGTCTGCGGCGCTGCCACCGTTGGGGCGTGTGTCGATGTGGGCGGTGCTGTTGCGGCTCCCGCGGAAGTGATATGATGTGCACTTGTCGGTGCTGGTGCTGGCTGTGTTGCCGTATGATGTGTGGCTGTTGCCGTCACCACCGACTGTTGTTGCTGCTGCTGCTGCTGCTGTTGTTGCTGCTGCTGTTGCTGTTGCTGCTGTTGCTGCTGCTGTTGTTGTACTACTCCAGCTGCTCCAGTGGTGGGATGTCACTGAGCCACCACAGAGGTGGCCGAATTCTGTTGCACCACACCGCCAGGTGCCACCGCATTCGCCACAGTTACAGTCACCGGCGGCGTGGGTCCATTCGCATGCGCCGCAGTCGGCTGCTGTTGCTGCTGCTGCTGCTGGGCATGGAACGGATGCTGGAAGGGGGGGCCGTAGCATTGCGGAAAATAGAGCTCGTTCTTCACAACCGGTTGCTGGGCAATTGCCGCCGCTGCTGCTGCATTGGCAACCATGCTGCGCGCCGGCAATATGTTTGCCTTGTTGTCCACCGTGGCGGGATTGTTGTTGTTGAGGAATTGCTGGGCAGCCAAACTCTTCACATCGTTCATCAGATGATTGGCGACAACGGCAGCGGAGGCAGCAACGTTATTTTGCTGCTGTTGCTGCTGCTGTTGCTGCTGCTGCTGTTGCACCTGTTGCTGTTGCTGCTGCTGTTGCACCTGCTGCTGCTGGACCTGCTGCTGCTGTTGCTGCTGGCGTCGCACCTTGGTGCTGTTGGGATTCATGTGGTTGTCAATGTGCTTCGTCACCTCGTTCTCGGTGGCAAAGCGTCGCCGGCAATTGGGCATGGGGCAGCAAAACGGACGATCTCCCTGTTGCAAGGATACAAAAGAGCAAAGTGTATTAAGACATGACCAACAACAACGGCAGAACGGGGGGGCAACATCGTGGGGGGCTTGGCTAGGCTACAACTACCTGGTGGGTGCGCGTATGCTGATCCAGAATCGCCTTCTGCCTGAAGTCCTTGCCACACTGGGTGCACTTGTACGGCTTCTCACCGGTATGAATGCGCAAGTGCTGCCAAAAGGATAATCCAAATGAAACAGTTGAAAAATATATAAAAAAACAATCAGTGTTATTCAATTTGGGATTGATTCTGGAATCTGGGATCTGGGATCTGGGATAGCTCACCTGATTCAGAATGGTTCGCTGGCGGAAGAAACGGGGACAGTACATGCAGCCGAAGGGCTTCTCGTTCGTATGGATGCGCAGATGCTGCGTGAGATGGGATTGCTGGCGGAAGCGTTTGCCGCACTCCGGGCAGGGATACGGCCTGGACTCGATGTGGATGCAGCCGTGCTGCAGCAGCGTTGTCTTCTGCTTGAACTCCTTGTCGCAGATGGGGCAGCGCACGTAGAGCGGCATATTCGCCGGCCGCACACCGATATGCTGCAACACCTCGGGCAATATTTTTTGGCCTGCTAGTAGGACAACAATTAAAAGGCTGTGTCATGGTAGGGACTTGCATGTGACTCGTCTACTCACCCTTGACATCCTTGAAGTAGGAGGGATAGTGCATGCCACCGCTGCCATCGGGTGTGCCCTGGGAATCATCGTCATGGTAGCCACCGCCGGCGGCGGCAATGTCACCCTTGCTATCCGTCTCATCGCCCGGGAAGGGCACATCCGAGGGCCACAGCGTCGGATGGGGCCCATTCTTGAAGATGAGATGCGGCGAGACATCTGTGGGGGAGACGTGTTGATCCGCGGCGGGGTACACATGAAAGTAATCAAGCCAGAGAATGCCACTGTTAGCAGCGCTTAAATTTGGCTCACAGCCATCTTCGAACTTATCACAAAAGTCACCTAGCATCTTCAACTACAAAACTAAAGACTTTTTTTAGTTGGTTTTTTGGTTTTGTTTTGTTTTTTTTTTTTTGGTTTTGCTTGATAAAGTTGTTGACTCGTTGAGGCAAATAAATGAAATGAACTTTTTTTCACTTATTTTTTTTTTTTTTAGTCTGTTTGACATGATGACAAAATAAATTTTTGATGATTTCTTCAATTTGTTTTTTTTTTTTTTATGGAGTGTTGAAATTATTTGAATTGCCTGCATTTGCTTTCGTTAATTGTAAATTATAATTTAATAATTCTTATTAAATTTATTTAAGAATTCCTTTAAGAGCAAATAAGCTAAGAAACGAAATTGTTTCGAGCCGTTTTACAAATTCAATTTAAGAAGAAAAATAAATGTTTAATTATTTTAAGTTGGATATGTTTTCTGATATTTAATTCACATTTATTTATTTATTTTTGTGCCCACTTCGCTGTCCACTTCACACCACTTACAAAGCCACTCAAACAGTCAACAACTTGAATTTTGAATAGGTTAAAAGAAAAGATGTAAATTGATATATATAAATAGATAATTTAGAATTTAGGCCAAAACATCGCTCAATTTGTATGTGTGTGTTTTAAGAATTTTGCAAGGGATTTGCATTGCTGCAAACGCTGTTAGCCAAACGTTTGCGAATCTGACGATCCGCGCTACGAGCACTACTGAGCTGAGAGATGCAACTGCAGCTGCAACTGCAACTGCGTGTTGCAAGTGGGTCGGAATGCTGGCTGGTTGCCTTGCGGCCCTGCTGGCTGCATGGCGATCAAGCGCTATCGCTATCGTTATCGTTATCGGTAATGGATGTGTTAACTGTCGCTCGCCTTGGTGGGTGCGCACATGCTGATTGAGGATGGCCTTCTGGCGAAAGTGCTTGCCGCACTCGGGGCAGGCGAAGGGCTTCTCACCCGAATGGATGCGTATGTGCTGATTGAGTATCGCGCGCTGCCGGAAACTGCGCGAGCAGTACGGACACGTGAATGGCTTTTCGTTAGCGTGGATGCGCAGATGTTGCGTCAGATGCGATTGTTGGCGAAATCGCTTGCCGCACTCGGAGCACGGAAATGGACGGGCGTCCGTGTGTATCCGATCGTGCTGCAGCAGTGTGCTCTTCTGCTTGAAGTCCTTGCCGCACGTGAGGCACTTGAATAGCCGCAGATCGCTGTGCGGCTTATTCTTCTGCGGGCGTCCGGGTCCCGTCCGACCACCCGTTGTTCCCGTTGCCCCATTGCCAGCAGCGCCCGTTGCTGGGCCATTGGCCGCCGCACTGCCCTCATTGGCACTGCCATTCGCTTGGCCAGCATTTGGGTTCGATTGCGTCCCATTCTGTTGCTGCTGCTGCTGCTGTTGCTGCTGCTGCTGTCCGGGCAGCAGTTCGGGCAGCGCATACGATTCACCGCCATTCTGCTCCATCGGCAGCACGTCCTGTTTGAGATAGTGCAGCGGCGGAAAGCCAGGTGGCGCCAGCATGCCGCCCTGCGGCCCCGCCCCATGCCGTGGCGCATAATAGTCGGGCGTCTGAAAGCCATTCCGCGGATCGCCCTGCGGCTGACCGCCGCCACCATTCTGCTGCACGTGCGGATTGCCAGCCTCGCCGCCATTCGCCGACGCATGTTGCGGCTCGTTGCTGCTTTGGTTTGGATTTGGCGCGGAGTTCTGTTGGTTGGCAAGCTGCAAGCAGAGAGCAGAGAGCAGAGAGCGTGTCAGAAAGTGCTTTACATAATATATATCCAATATATATACAAATAATAATCTGCTCAAGTCAAAGATTATTGATTGAGGCTTCTGCTTTTAGACAAGCTGCAAATATATTCTCGCAAATCCCAGAAATGTTGCAAATATTTTTTAATTTATATTTATAATTTTAAAATTTATTTTAAATTTCATTTGATTAAATTGTTGTACTTTTTGTATTTGTTATATTGACTGACTTTAATTGACTTTAAATTAATAAATAAATGAATAATAAATAAATAAAGAAATAAATATAGAAATGAATAAATTAATTAATTAATTAATAAATAAATTATAAATTACAGTACACACTTTTTCTGATTGTGGAAAATTTTTTTTATAGCGAATTTTCTTCAATTTACCAAAACTATTTTCAGATTTTCTTACATCAAATTTAATCATTTCGTTTGCTTGTACAAATTGTCAGCTGTAAAAAATTACAAACTATTTTTGTCGTATTTTATCGTATCTTTAATTAAGAATTCCGAACTCAAATTAAAATCTAGAAACTCAAAATAAAAATAGAAACTAAGAAAATAATCAAGTTCAAATAAGATTGTTACTTTTTCAATAATAAACTCTTTCTAAGAATGTATTCTGGATAATCAATTCTGTTCGCTTTGTTCACTTTTCATATCTTTTCCACTTGATTCAAGATATACACACATATTATCTTAATTGAAGGCTGTTTGCTTTAAGTATTTGTTATTATTTGAGTAAACTTCAGTCAAAGTCAATAAACAAACTCAATCTAGAAATAATTCTGTGTTTAAGATTTTTGTCTACACTTTTTCGACTCTTTGCACTTGAATCAAGAATAACTGTAAATCCTTGATTTGGGCTCACCTGATTCATGGCATCCTCATCGGCATTGCCATTGGCCCGTTGCTGCTGCTGCTGCTGCACCACCGATGGATACGGACTCGAGGATGGCGACACCTGCTGCTGGCGTCCGTCGCCGCTGCCATTGTCACGTGGCTCCTGGCCACCGGGCGGACTCTGCGGCTGGCCAGCGGCTGCGGCAGCTGCAGCCGCTTGTGCGGCAGCTGTGGCATTCTGTTGTTGTTGCTGCTGCTGCTGCTGTTGCTGTTGCTGCTGCTGCTGGGCGCTGAGATGTTGCTGGGCCTGTTGCTGAATATTTGGGTACATGTCGCTGCCCCATTGTGCGGCACTGGCGCCAATGGCGCCGGCATTCCGTTCCGCGTCCTGTGAGTCCTTGTAGAGGACGTACGGCTGGCCCGTGTCCTGGGTGATGCAGTACATTATCTGGCGGGGAACCTTCAGGCCTGCCGCTATGCAGGCCGCAAAGGAGGCCGAGAAATTTATGGCCATTTTGTGTTTTGTTGTTGTTGTTGCTGTTGCGGTTTTTTTGTTTTGTTTTTGTTTACTGTTTTAGATTAGTTTTGTTGTTGTAGCTGGGTTGTGTGCAGTGTGCAATGTCCTTTGGCAGGACACACTTTCACTATCGTTAAGCTCTGCGCTCGCTTTACTGCTTTGCTTGTGTTTATTGACTTTTGCTGCACATTTTTGCAGTTTTTGCTTTTGTTTTTTGTTGTTTTTGTTTTGTTTTTGTTTTGTTTTTGTTGTTGTTATTTCATTTATTTGTTTCAATTGTTTCTTTTCATGGCCTGCGTTTTTCCTCAGTTTTGTTGTTTTCAGTTAAAATTCCTTTCTTCTTAAGTGTCTCATTTAGTTTTGTTCGATTCTTTCTCCTTGTTTTAGTTGAAATTATATTAAAAATGTTTTCTTTATATTTATTCTTAGCGCTTTTTTGCTTTATTGATTTCAATCTGTTACCTAGAAACATGTATTTTTCACATGGTTATTCGAAAACCCTGACTGAAAATGCAATTTCGTTAATAAGTTTTCGGGCATCGGCTTCCAATATTATTTGGTAACAACTGCAAGTAAAAGAAGTGCAAATAGATTGTTAATTAATTTAAAAAAATATATATAATAATTTAAATATTTTTAATTATTTAAATAGAATTTGCCGTTTACTCTTTTAGTATTGTGTATTTTTTTCTTCTTTTTTTTGGCTTCATTTCTCAGATTAGCAAATTTGACCTTCTCAAAAAATTAGCATGCCGAACGCATTTCACCAAAAACATTTAAAAGCATTCTAAAGTTCAAGTTTTAATTTCAAACAACAAACGAAACTTAACAGAATATAAAAAATGAAACAAGACAAGGAAAAAAAGAAGCAAAAAAAGGCGACGCAAATTAAAAACAATGAAGATCATCAACGGCTGATTGAGAGGAGTGCCACACAAATGGACACCGCATGCCAAGCAGGCTGGCACAAGCAGCGCTTCCCCCGCATCCCCCTGACCTTTTCCCATCCCCTCGCCCAGCACACCATCCTCTAACCCACTATCCCCATTAACGCTAACTGTTCGCTGCTGCTGCTGCTGCTGCTGTTGCTGCGACTTCTCCCACACACATCCCCAAATCGAAGGCTGGCCACATGTTGTTGTGCCTCCTTTTGTTGTCATGGCTTCGACTCCGACGCTGACGTTACCGCTGACTCTGCCTCTGCCTCTGCCTTTGCCTCTGTTGTCTTTTATATTTTTGCTATGTTCTTTTCTCCTTTTTTTTGTTGTTTTCTTCTTCTTTTTTTTTGTGTTGCGCCCCACGACAACGTGCCAAGTTTTTAATGCGGGATCAAGGTCTCGGCAAGCATACGGCTCTCACAGATACATACACACACACACACACACACACACACACACACGCGCTCAGCCCAGTTCGTGGCCTGTTGTCCTAAACGAACAGATCCATTAACAATATACATGTAGAAACATGCGGCTGGGCCATAAACAGTTGAGCACAGCCGACCAACCTGAGTTGGCCAATGTTATTGGCTCTCATCATTGGCCAATCTTTCGACATGCATTAGACAAAACATTCAACACAGCTAAGTAATTGGCTTATAGCGTTCTTGTTGTGGCCCATGCCCAGAAGACATTGATTAACTTGTTGGCAGCATTACCACGATTAGATCATTTCCGATTTTTATGTTTATTTTTATTTTTTTAACAGACCATTTGCGATCGCAGTTGTCATTAAGCGTAATTTAACTTAATCCATTATCATAATATTGACTTGGATTTGTCTTACTATTTATGATAATTATTTTCGATTAAAACTCTGCAATAAATGTGCATTTCCCAATTAAAGTGAGTTTAGTTTATTATTATTATTTTCGATTAAGTTTCTGTTCCCTTGGCAAATTGCATATTTAAAAATAATAGTAAAAATTAATTGAAAAATTCCTAGACTTTAACAGATCCTTGTCTTATATTTAATGATCACTTTGAAGACCTAAATAGTTTTTCAGCTCGCTGCAAGTCGAGTGTTCTTTACTATGATTATCACAAGATTATCATAATTATTTTCGATCAAGTTTCAGGCATAAATTAATTAAATATATATTTAAGAATAATTGTAAAAATTTAATGAAAAATAACTAACATTTAAAACGACATTTAAATCGGTGGCAGGTTAGCAAATTTCCTGCTGATGCCCAAAGTCACAACAAGCCGTGGAAAGAAATCCACATCGAAATCGAAATCGAAATCGCTGACGAAATGAATTGTAAAAATTAAATTGAAAACGCAATGCGTGTCAGCCGTAAACAATAACAATAAACAGCAGCAACAAGAAAGAGCAGCAGCAGCAACAATTGCAACAACAACTTGACGCTACAACAACAAATCGCCACGCAACGCAACGCATCGTGTTAAGACTCGAGTGTGAGTGTGAATGTGAGTGTGAGTGCGAGTGTGAGTGCGAGTGCCAGTTCGAATCGTTTGAGGCGAGAGAACTAAACTAAACTACCTTGAACCCGCAAATGAACGCGTCGCACTCGAGCAAGAAAAAAAACAGAGACGGCCAGATACAGCCGATATACCTCAGTCTCAGTTGCAGTCTCTTTGCCATGCAACAGCCGCCAAACGGCGCCCGCCCCAGCTGTGCCAGCCTGGTAGTGGCAGTTGAGGGGGGTTGGGGGGTTTGAGGAGGGGGTGCTGACTCTGTGGCAATGCAGTTGCAGTTGCACTTCGTGCCGTCCAAGTCGCTGTTGCTATTTGTGAATTATTGCGCTCCATTGGCAGCGCGACAGCGTTTGCAATTTATGCGTTCGTTGTCGCTACAGTTGTTGCCCTGCCACAGCTACAACCCCCCTCCCCCCTCCTGCCTTGACAGTCCCAGTCCCAGTCCCAGTTCCAGTCAGACTATCTATCTATAAGCACGGCATGTTTGTTTTAGTTTTTTTTTTTTTTTTTCGTTTTTTTTGTATGTTTTTCAAGCTCTTCGCTGTTGCCGCCTTTTGTTGCTTTTTGTCTTCTTCCGCTCGTACAAATGTAATGAGCGGTTTATTTTTAAATGCGTGTGCGGCCATTTAAATGAATGAGTGTTAACAGATCCATTGGTCAGATGCTCAACTTAACGATCGTAAATGCTGATCACTTGTATTTCTCCTGTTGTTGTTGCAAGACAGCTAGCTGGAATCTGGTCCTCTTAAATTTGAAGTGTTTGAAGTGTCTGTGAATCTCAATTTAGAGTTCGAAATAGAAATAGACAGATGGAGTCTGTTGTTGAAAACTTGTTTGAACTAACTGTAGATCGAAGAATGAGCAATGTTTCTATGCATATAACAAAATATATATATTTTTAATATCCGTTTGCATTTTTTTTTGCTTTAGATTCATAAATCATTCTGTGTGAAATGAATTCCTAAAATGGCAAAAATTGACAAAGCTGCTCGCGAGTAATTTTGAGTTGTTTAGCCAAATTTGAGACTCCATTCTCAGTTCATAAATTATTAGAATTATTGTTATTATTACTCCCTGCTACTGACCATCCTATCCTATCCTATCCCTTACTTCTGAGATATGGATTCTCTACTCTGATATGTTCAGTTTTAATTAAGGAATTGATAATGGAAAAAGGAGCTGGCCTAATTTGTGGCTGTAATTATATCTGATTCGTCTTAGTCTCTCCTTTTAAGAATTATTCTGCTTAAGATATGCATTCTAGTCGAGCTTAATTTTGGTTTTCACTTTGAATTTCTTCCTTAAAACTTGCGCTCATTTATATATTTCAGTCAAGTCATTTTCATGCCACACTCAAAATAAATCGGAATAGTCCATTGCCCCATTAAAAAGCATTCAGTAATTTTGTTTCATTGCATTTGATTAGCCGAGCAAATCGAGAGGCAATTTATTCGAGTAGCTGACAAAACTCCACCTACTTCACACCTGACAGCCGACAGACAATAGGCACGCGTTGTGCTGGTAGCCGTCAGACAAAAGATACAAGATACAAGTAACAGATACAAGATATTCGCACAAATGCACAAATGCACAAATGCACATGCCAGCAGACACCAGCAAAAAGATGCAAGAGTTGAAAATTGCGCATATTAATGGCCATAAGCGTTGGCTGCCATTGGTGGAAACGTTGCTTGCCCACACGCCATTGAAATTGAAATAGAAATAGTGAGAAATAGCAAGAGCAAGAGGCAAAACAGTGGCAAAACGGGGCAACAAGATACAGAAACTAGAGTAGAAATCGTGGGGGGGCGTCAACAACGTGGCCAACAAACGTTGACAACTTTCACTGCCAACGAAGCGTGCACAAAAATTGGCAAACAGAAATTTGCCAGCTATAAAATATCAAAAAGTGGAACATACGGGCGATGTGGCGTATACTTAACTAATGCCATTCAAACTGATGAGATGGGCACATCTATTAAACGTGCACAAAAACCAACTCATCAAATAAACTTTTTAAATACCCTGAACCCATTAAAAATGTGTAAAAAGTGCAGGCAGTGACGATCCCAGATATATATATATATATATATATATATATATTCCTGATCTAGCTCAACAGCCGAGTCGAACTGTAAAACACTTAAGATACTTTAAAAATAGAATTAAAGTTCTCGAACCATCTGCTACCATATACCATTCGTTAATTAAGTTAATTAAATAATTTTATCGATAAAAATCGATTTGCGTTCAAAAAAAAAGTCACAATTTAAAAGATATAGTTTTTCAATTAAGTAATAAATGAACTTTGGCAACTACAAAAAGTGTATTGATTAATATAAAATAAACTATCAAAGATAACTAATATTTAGATTAAAAGATTTTACTTCAAGCTGGCCTCACTAAATATATTACTTACTTTAATCAAATTCAACATTTAATTAGCTAAATTAAAGATTAAATTTGTATACACAAATATTTGCATTTAAAATTGTTTTTTTTTTAAGCTGTACAAGTAATTGAGCACTCCCATAAATTAATAACTCCACTCCCAAAAGATCTCAAAGAAATATAACTTTCAAATTGATACACAACTTCAATTTGTATACAGTGAGCACACACATAGACACACACACACACACACACACACACACACACAGACAGAGGTACATTAGAACCCAGGGGCCTATCTATCTATTGTATTTATCTGGCATAGCCCAAAAAGTCGCGTTGAAGAAGAAAAAACGAAACAATAAAAATTTGATTTCAAGGTTAGGGCAAAAAAAACAACAACAACAACAACAACAGCAACAACAACAACAAGCAGCAGCAGCAGCCAGAAAAATGGCAACTTTTTTGCGCTTGTTGCTTCGATGGCAGCAGCAGCAATAACAGCAACAACAACAAAAAAGAGCGCCAAAAATTTAACGTAATTTGTGCAGTCTAATTCAATACACAAAAGCTTCACAGCCAACTACAAGTGAGAGAGAGCTTAACAGAGACAGAGACAGAGAGAGAGACAGCGAGAGAGAGAGAGAGAGAGAGCAATAAACTACACAGGTAAAGCACAATTGTCAGATACGACACACGACTAAGCGCAAAAAAATTCATTTGCGACACGCCAAAAAGAGTCAAACAAAAAATGAGTCATAAAAAGGCGTCCAACGCGTCCAAGCGTCCAATTTTGTAATTATGTTTTTCTTTTTCCCATTTCCAATATTTGTGCAAAAATGTTTGACGGAAACGTAGCAAAAACGTTTTGCTAGCTGCATCAGGTACAGATGTTGTTGCCTCATTGGTTGCAGGCGCTTGTTGCACGTTTTGTTTGCATCTGTTTGGAGCAAACATTTTTGCAGAATTCATTTATATTATTAAGCAAAATTTATAATTTAAATAAGAAATAAGGTTATAGCAAATAAGACTTTTATTTATTTATTTTTGAAAAGGTAATCAATATGACAAAGAGAAATTTATGATTTAAATTTTAATATTTATGTGAAAAGAAGGCTATGCAAATTATTATAAAATAAAATTAAATAAATAAATATATTTCTTTATAAAAAAAAATTATATATGTTAAAATAACTAATGGAAATGGGATATATATTTTTTCCATAAAAACTAATGAATAGATAAATATAATAAATATTTTTTTTTTTTTTTTCAAAAAATCAACATTAAGAATAAATATATCTTTCTTCAAAAAAAATAATAATAATTCGAGTGGAAGTGTAAATAAATATTTCTTTATTCACCGAAACTAATTGATAGATATTAAAAGTATATATTTCTTTATTCGTAAAAACTATTGAGTAGATATTATATAAAATTTAGCAGTGAATCGTTTATAATAATGGAAATTGAAAACATGTGCTCGAACTTCGCCTTATTTATTGATTTATTAGCCATCATTAAGAAAATTATTTAATCGATAAGTGGCATAAAATATAAATATAATTAAAATATAAAACAAATCGCAAGCGCTTTGCCATTGCTATATTTATTGATTTATATTTCACAATCAAATATTCAATGGCTGATTGATTGATGGCTTAGGGTATTTTGCGTTCGTTATAATTCCAAGTTAGCCATTCATTCGCATCGTGTTCTATGTAAATATCTGTACATTTAATTAACGCGCCGAATTTTCGAAAAATCAACTCGCTGGGTGACAAACAAAAATACAAAATTTGTAGCCGGCAACAATTCGAACTGAGATCTTGCCTCTGATGATAGATGGCCGCTCCGATTGGATGTCAGTTCCACGAGATACACATGCATTAGACTCTTGCAGATGTATCTGAAAGATACACAACACAATATAGACACACACAGACACACACACACACACACACACACACATATATACAGTGGAACACTTTGGGGCACACAATTAAGTGATTTTGCTTGTTTTGTTGTTCAGCATTTTGTGGATTTTTAGTTTTTTGTGCAAAAAAATTGGTGTGTTTGTTTCTTTTTTTTTTTGGTATATAATTCATCAAATTCCCTTATGGCCTGACATTCGCATACAGCATTTGTAGATACGCACCAGCACAGATTATATCCCCCTCCCACTGCCTCTCTCACTCACTCTCTCTCTCTCTCTCCCTCGCTCGCTCTCGCTCTCTCACTGTTCAGACACACTCACACACACTCACACCAAATAAACGAATTTAGCTTCAGGGGGAATTCGCAAAAAAAGAAAAAAAAAAAAAAAATGAAGAGAAAAAAAACCCACGAAAAAATCGCAAATGATTTGTGGCAAATTTTTTTTGTTACTTTATTTGCTTTTAGTTTTTGCGTATTTCTCTTTGCTCTTGCTCATTAGTGCCGTTTTCTGTGTATGTGTGTGCATGTGTGTGTGTTTGTGTGTGACTTCTCTTTTCACTCCCCCTCTCCAACGCTTTCCGCTTCATTTTTTTGCTTTGCATTTTGTCAACTTGATTTACGCGCAAAGCATTTTTTTCAGTTCTTCGTTTATTTATTTTTATTTTAACTCGATTTTCATTTAATTTTCGCAACGCTTTGGCAATTTATTCATTTATTAATTTGCTATTCCATTTTTTACTCACCTTTTTCTCCTTTTTTCTGTTTTTTTTTTTTTGTTGTTGCGAAATTTGTGTTTCCCTTAGTTATGCCAAAAATATCCCAAATGTTTATTAGATGGGATTTCCTTTTTGGTTGCGCTGCTTCATTGAATTTGTTCTTGTTCTTGTTGTTTTTGTTGTTGTTGTTGTTGTTGATTTTGTTAATGCTAAAAATAGAGAACAGGATTTTGATAAAGTTAATCAATTGCATGGATGATTTTGCATTAAATTGTATATGAAATGTATCTTAGCAGTGGAAAAGATACAAAAAAAACCCTTTAACACCATTAATTACTGGCAAAATATATACATATTTAATGTTGTCTATTCTTAAAGTGAATGAGAACATTAAGTTACGTTTTGAGTTTACTTCATAGTCTATTTAAATATAGACTAATGAGTATTTAGAGTTTCTACTTTAATGCAAAATTCTTCTATAGTTTTAAGGTCTTAATTGAATTAAAAGTTGGCATTTGGCTGAATTTAACCCAAATCCAAACTTATCTCATATTTAGAACAGGTATCAGTTTGAATTTAATTAGTTTAAACAAGTTAGAATGATTTAGTCGAGACTGCTCGACTGCGATATACCCTGCACACAGCTATTAAATACCATAATAGGCCTGCCAATATTTGTTTAAGATGAAAAAACGTTTTACTTAACAAAATCAGTGTTTCTTATGCGATCTTAATAATATTTGCTGAGTATATCAATAATATGTCGCAGTTATATCTCTACAATTGTAGCATTTAAAGCTATCAAAAATCGATTAGTATCAAATTGGTGTTTGCAAAACGCGCACAATTATCGATAAATCGCACAATTATCGATAAGTCAATATGTGAATGGCATAAGAACTATAAATTCTTGCCAGCTCTCATAGTCTCTGAGTTCGGCTTGCTTATACTGACGAAATTGATCAAGAATATATATGTAATATATATATACTTTATGTGGTAGTAGATGCTTCCATCTGCCTGTTCATTACTTAACTGCCTGATACTTTTTTAACCACTTTTAATATGGGTTCAGAGTATACTAATAATAGTAATTATATATTTTTGCACAATTTTTAAGATGACATTTAAAAAGTTGCCTATTCCTGAAAGACATAAATGTTGTGGGGCAAGTTGAACTAGCGAAAATCAGAGACAAACAAGTGTTAACTAAATGCATTAAAATACGCCTTCAGTTCAAATTAACTAATTGACAGGCCATAAAAGCGACTTAGTCGGCATTTAGCCGCCACGCAACACCCAACCCCAAAACCAAAACCAAAAAAAAAAAAACAAAAACAAAACAAACAAAGACAAACTATAAAACCAAAAGCAAATAACACATTTTTGGATGGCAGCCGGCGAAGAGACCGCAACAACAACAACAACCACAACAACAACAAAACAACAACAAAAATGATAACTTTGTGTGTCGCATAAACAAAAAAGACCACACGAGAAATAAACACACACCGAAAATTGACTCTGCACTAAATGCATATTTTTGTGGGAGATGGGAGTGCTGGGTGATGGGTGGGGGCGGGGCTGTGTAATGCATAACTGTATAACTGCTATATTAGTGCGCGTATACATAAAAATGCATGTATGCATCTATGAATGTGTGTGTATGTGTGTGTGTGTATTTGTGTGTGTGTGTGTTTGTGTGTGTGACTAACGCTAACCTCAAAAAGTTTATTGCGCGCAGTGTAGACAAAAAATTGCAAATTGCAGCGGCGTTTGCTTCACACACACACACACACACACACACCTACACGCACACACACACACAGAGCGAGCACAGCGAGAGGCACTAATACACTTGTGCAATTGCACGTGCTTACAGAACAACTCACACACACACTCACACAGACACATGCATGCATGCAGTGGGAGAGTTACAGCAGAGATGCAGCAGAGAGAGACACCCCCGCTTTACCGCTGCTGCCACAGCTGCATCAAATATTTTTTCCTCAAACAATTTTTTTTCTTTAGCTGCAGTTGCAGTTGCAGTTTTGCAAACGTTGACAAATATTCTGCTCAATGATTTCAATCGAGAAATCTATTTGCATTTGTTTCTTTTTTTGTATTATTATTATATTGGCAGCTGCAGCTTCTTCTTCATTTTCTGCTTCTCACTTGCCTTTTAGCGTTGCGTATACGCAGCGTGTGCTACAAACACACACACACACACACACATGCACACATTCGTTTGTTTATGCAAACATTTAGTTTGTTGTCGATTGTATTTGTTGTAGGCGCGTTTATTCTCTTTTTGCCCGTTTATATTTTTTGTTAGTTATTTTTTGATTGCTGGCAATTTGCACGCAGTCTGCGATATTTAATACACACACACACACACACACACACATATGCATGCATGTGTGCAGCTTTTTTTTTATTAGATGTCGTCGTCGCAAAAAAATCGAACAAAATGCCAAAAAAAACAACAGCAAACTGTAAGTACAACAAACCGAATCCAAAACCCAAGCGAAACGAAAAGAAACTTGGCGCAAGGCGACGTCGTCGTCGTCGTCGTCGTCGTTGTTGTTTTTTTTTCTGTTGCTGATATTATTTTCTGTTTTTTTTTTCGATTTTTTTTTTTTTGTGGGAGCGGAGCGCGCGCCAACTTTTAGCTATGGCTATGACTACGGGTCTGGGGGTCTCTGGTCTCGCCGCCAACTACAAATACAATGTCTACACAAAAAAGCAAAAAAAAACCAACGAACGGCGAGTAACGAGCAACTCATTCTCTCTCTCACAAATACACACACACACAGAGAGAGAGGGAGAGAGAGAGAGAGAGCCAGGCAGGGCGCTCAGGCAATTTGGCGCTCTCTAAGCTTTTTTAGTCAAAACAATTGCAAAATTTTTCAACTTTTTGCCGGCGGGCGTCGGACGCCGGCTCCCCTCCCCCATCCCCGCACCAGATGTGCGCGAGTGTGTGAGTGTGTGCATCGCACAAGTTTCTTAGTGTTGGTGCAGTCGCTAACAAAGCTCGCTCGCTCGCTCTCTCTAGCTCAGTGCCGCTCTCTGTCAGCTCTCTTGGCGCTCAGTTGCTTATGCTCACACGCTCTCACACTCTCTCTCTCTCTCTCTCTCTGTTGTCGATTTTCTAATGTTGCGACGGCATGCCGCTGCAGAGATGCCAACACTGACTGCGCTGCTCGCTTTGCTGTTTTTGACGCGTGCTGCTGCTGCTGCCTCTGCTGCTGCCTCTGCTGCTGCACATCGTGTGCGCTTTCGTTTGGCTCGTTTTATTTTGTGTATAAATTCTCTTCTCCTTTTTTTTTTGTTCCTATTTAGTGGCTTATTACGTCGACTACGATTTGAGTTTTACGTTGAATTTTAGTGCACAAAATAGCGTAGTATAAATGACGTCTACTCCGATTTAGAGCAAAAAGGGCATGTTAGTTGTATGCTGCAAATCGGAAGTAGTTAAGTAAATAAAAATGCAAATTAACTTAGAAACGAAGCCTGAACTGTAGCCATATTTTAATTTTAATAGAAATAAATAAAATAAATAAATAAAAATAGGCAATCAGATAGAAATGACATTATTGAGTTTTATGGTACCTTCTGTAAGCCATGTAAAATATTTTATATATATATATATATGTATAACTATGTACCTGTAATGCAATTTGACCTCTCGACCTGCTGACCAATCCCCCAGTTGCATGCAATTCGCTGCCCACACACACTCAAGCGCTCGAGTAATCAGTTAAGAACGACACAATGGCCCACAATGGCCCAAAAAAAAAAAAACTTCTACCTAAAATGCCACCCCTCCCCACCCGTCGCACCAACACCCAATCATTGTGGCAACGCCCACTCAGTCAGTCAGTCAGTCGAGTCGAGTTGAGTTATCGTGACCAAAAGAACAGAAATTTGCAATTGTTCATTTGGTTTCGTTGTTTTCCGGGTTGACGCAAAAACCTAGACACGCAGGGGGGGCATGAATTAAGCGAGGGGGAGTGGGGGGAGGACGGTCAAATTGAAAGACACATGTACAATATAAAGTAAATTATTGTATGATTTGTATGCAATATTTTATAAATAAACAACGTATATTTTTTTTGTATAAACAACCAAAAAACCAAGCAAAACGTAAAACAATACGAAGAAAAAAGTACGACACAAGTTGCAAAAAAAACAAAAACAAAAAAACAAAAAAGGTAAGTGGGGGAGATACACACATAGATATGTAGATACATTTATACATATGTCGATTTATGGGTAGATATGTAAAATATTAAAAAGCAACAACAACAACGACAACAACAACAAATGCTGACAACGTCTCGGCGTGTCTTTTGTGCCGCTTTAGCTTGTTGTTTACTTTAATTTCGCTTCGTTTTAATTTATTTTATTTTTCTTTCATTTTTGGCAACGTTCGTTTTTGCAATTTCTGCAAAAGCAACAAAAAACACTCAAAACGACAAGTTTAAATGTGATTTGAAGATACGACAAAACAGAAAATACATCAAAATGAAATAGCTTTCAACAACTTGCCGACGATTGAATACCCTTGATGGAAACCATCAGCAGGACATGATGAATATGTGTAAAAATCAAACGCAAAATAAAAACGCTTTTTAGTCATGTTAATATTAAAAACCTAATTTAATAAAGTAGCGCAAACAAGTTGAAAAGTGATTGCAAGACGATAAAACAGAAATAGAACATCAAAGTGAAACAGCTTTCAACATGTTGCCGACAATTAAATATCCTAAAAAAGAAACAGCGTCAAATATATATTAAGAACAATCATTATGGAAATCAGTCATGTTAATAGCAAAATTATAATTTAATAAAGAATAAGCCTCTTGTTGGGAATATCTGCCAAGAATAGAATACTTTTATAGCATCATAAAACTCAGCAGATTGATGCTAAAACAGTTAATAGATACAACTAGATAAGATATCTGACTTATTATGGATTTCATACGTATTTAAAATGTTATACCCTGTAAAATAAGAAAGTATCTGTCAGATTATTGGCCAAAAATAAAAGTTGTTTCTTGCGAAAGCGTTTCTATTGTCTTCGGCTGCAGGCAATGCCTAAATTTAGAATTTGTTGGCAACACTTGCATCTGTTTTTGCATCTATGCTTTTTGCACCTGTTTCCGTTTTTATTGTTGTTATTGTTATTGTTGTTATTGTTGTTATTGCATTTGCATTTGGTGTGTATTCTGCTTTTGTGTTTTTTGTTTAGTCGTTTTCCTGTTTGGCTTTGGCTTTTGGTTCAGTAACCTATCGATTTGATTTTGTTTACCTTTTGACGACATGCCAAAATAAAGAAATGCAAAATATTGTTTGAATATTACGACATGCGACTGTGGGGCAGGTTGGAAGGGCCGATCACAATTTCATTGGCCTCGCCATAAAGTCACAATTTTTCATTCACAATTGCCCCCGTCTCAGGGGTATTAGTTGTTTTTTTTTTTTTTGCCACTTTTTATCTGTGTGTACTTTTCACACTTATCTTAAATGCTTGTCTATTATTTGCCTTCTTCAGCAGATAGCAGAGTGAAATATTTCAAGTAGATAATTTGGAAAATTATTTATTTTTATTTACAACATTAAAGGAAATCCCAGTTAAACTCAGACTTAACTTAAGTGTCTTAAATACGATTATAAGCAGCTTATCTCTATAAACACTTAACGTGTTTAAAACTCTCAATTCTCACACACTTTAAGCTAATTTGCAATCCATGCAAATCTTGCTCAAAAATGTTACCTTGCTTTAAATCAAACAAAAAAAAAGGGAAAGAAAATTAATCTTTTTATTACTTTTTGAATACTTTATTTATTTGCCACTATGTTAGCAGTCTTTTGTCTCGTCGCTGTCTGCACGGAGTGAAAACTTTGCCTGGCATTAAAAAACTTGTTTCTCCATTTGCCATTAATAACAGAACGGAACAGAACAGAACAGGGGTTGTTGGGTGGGGCGGAGGAGGGTTGCTACTTTGGAGTGTGGGTGGCTGAGCTTCAACAATGCTGAGTTTGCCCCAATCACTTTGGGCAGTTTTCACTTTCAGGCGAAAATTAAAAAGCAAACAAGAAAAGTGCAATAAAGCTGGTTATTAAGTCGCCAGTAGCCTAAGCGACAACAAACCAGAAATAAATTTAAAAAAAAAAAAAGCCCGAACAGTTGACTCAAAAAACTTGGCTCTAAGGATTTATGCTATGCAAATTGAAGCAAAACTTTGCAAACTATTGCTAAAAACTAAGAAAATTCAGAGAGTTGAGAGCTTAAACGCGGCAATGTAAAGCAATAAATATAAATTAAATAAATATTTATATTACGGAACTTGAATATCTCGTCTGAAAGGCTCTCATTCTTCTTTTCTCAATCCGTGAAAATCAAGGTACCAATAAGTAAACGTTTACCCTAAAAAAAGTTTGGAAAATACTGCAACTTTTATACTTTTATACTTAGCGAACTATGCAGGTCTTGTGAAAGCTGGGAAGAATCCTCAATACACATCCTGAAAGAGTGTGTCGCCTTAACTAGAAGAGGTTGCACAGTTTCAAAGACACAGAAGCCCTCAACCTGAACTGGGGTTGATGGAGCAGCCATAGTCTCAGCAGGGGGCACAATAGATCGAGTAGGTCGCAGTGCAGGTATTCCAATAATAATAAGAAAAAAATAAAACCAGTTTCCCTTTGACACCCGTTTAGAAACTGATTAAATCTTGTCGCAGAATGTTATTAAAATATTTGAATTAAATTAATTTTAATGATATTTAATTTATTTTATTTAGTATTTTAGTTATGTATATTAAGGTTTAATCTGGTGCCTGCTTAATAATAACTCTCAACAAAACGCTTCTGCTGATTTATCGATTTCTTTTGCACCGTCTGGCAACTCTAAGGGTTCCTTGCTTACTTCCGCTTAGTGTTGCCAATCTCTTTGCATGTGTGCATATTTTTATATAAATTGTATGTATTTTATATATTTTTTTTAATTTATGTAAAATTTCTATGAAATTTGTGACGTGTAAATAATGAACTATTTTCAGCTTGCAGTTTTCGCATTTGCAATTTGCAATTTGATACACTCAGCGTGGGGCACTCGAAAAGTTGGCAGACGCTGAAAACTGGGAAAATTATGAAAACTGTGTCAAAACTTGAAAGTTAAGCAGTGCCTTTGGCTATGGCTATTGGGGTCTAGCAGCTACTTAAGGGTCGTGACTGAACCATTGGCCCATTGCAACGTTAACGTTAACGTTACCGTTAACCGCAGACCTTAACTAATCCTATTACTTACATGAGCGCCGTTAGACAAATCCCAGAATCAGTACTGAACACGAACCCGAACCCAGACCCAGACCCAGACCCAGACCCGGACCCGGACACAGACCCGTACTCGTACCCATAACCCATAACGGTACCGGGTTCGTTTATTGGCTGCGTGCGTGTTGAAAGCGGTAACCTTTTCTGTTCGGCTTTGCCACACACAATTCCGTTAGTTGCGTGCGGATTTTCACACTTTACGCATGAAAGCTCAAACAAAAAGCGCAAAGAATGAAAGAGTGAGAGAGAGAGCGAAAGAGAGAGGGAGAGTGTGTGGAAGAGAGATAGATTGACTTACGCACGGTTGCATTTTGCCACCTG